GAATGCCAGTCTTGTGTCTATTAGGGGCAAACAGCAAATTTATGTCCTCAGGGTTGAAAATCAGTTGTTCGCATGCCTCAAAGCAGCAATAAATATGTAGTGCTAGCTATGCTAAATCTGCAATGAGGAGCTTCAAATATACTAAGCGATGAAAAATAGACTATATATTAAAGTAAAACTCATTCATGAAATGGGTGTCTCTCAATCTGCAAGTTTTTTGCTGCAGGTCCTTCAAAACCCATGCTTAATTAGACCTTAAATAGGTGGATTTGGAGGCCTCTGCTAATTGCAGTTAGCTTCTTGGATAGTCTTAGAATCCCATGTGAGTCCACAGATGATGGATTAAAATATGCAGTGAGTCATATTAAATTGATGCCAATTGAAATGCACAGTTTGTAAATTGCTGCAGAATTTGACTCGGTAAATAGCAATCATAAATGTAATACTTTGCAATTCTAAGCACTGCGTCTGTCTTAGGCTAGCTTTTTTTTTCTTTCTGAGGAACAGAAAATAAAAATTATATTTATTGTATCGGTAAAATATTAATTTTCTAGTCTTCACGGGAAGCCTGAAAAGTGACACTGCATTGATGTCCTAGCTTTTAACTGGCTAAATTAAGTTACAGAGGGGATAGATGGGTTGGATGTGATTGTACATGAAAGCTGTGGCAGAGCCAGGAACATAATAATCCAAGTCTCCTGACTCCTGGAGTTGAACTTTAAAACCAGATCATGTTTCCTTTGTGCTCTCAGTCTGTATACTGACCTTTAGGAATCGTGTTTACCTACAGGTTCCCAGAAGAGATCTATTTTCCCTTGAAATGCTTTCCTGCTATCAATTACACTTTTATTCTGATGAGTATTTTGAGCATTTAGAATACACGAAGAGAGCAAATGAAAACGGTGTTTCCTGTGGGGCCAGGTCTGCTCCCTGTAGACTGCTTTCGTAGGTAATAGGGAGCGGTGGATATGGGTCCAGCACTTAATTAATGCTAGAGAAACACAGTTTCTGTAAATACTCATGCGCATCCTTTCTTCAGGCCTCTGCAGAGAAGAGAATGAGTGTGCCCGCAGCGCTGAAGATGGAGAGGGATCCGTGCTGGTACAGTGGGAAGGTGCTGCTCTGAGATTCTCCTTTACATCAAACTCCTTCAGTCCTCACACTGAGGTGACAGATAAAGAACAGGAAGGATGTCTGAAAACTTCAGAAAATGCCAAGCTAAGAAATCAAATAGATGGTGAGATTCTTTTAACTCTGCCGTGGTGGAAACCAGCAAAGTCTGATTGTTCTCACTCTTGGGGAAGGAATGCTCCATGACCAGAGGTCTTTAGAACAGCACTGGCTGAGCTCTGGCTTGATGACCTTTTTGGAAACTTAAGTGATTGAAGGCAGGAGCAAAATCATACATTGGAGCCCAGTTCTATGGGACTTTCCAACTAGGGAGATCCTATGTTATCCCTAAAGTTGTATATTTTCATGATCCTTTCTTGCAGCAATTTTGTGCTATTCCTACGTGCAGCCCAAAGTAGCCGTGTTGCTACCTCTAGGCTGTCCGCCTCCTGTTTGCTATTTACAGTCTGTAGTGGTGTCTGGATTTTCAAACTTACTGCTTAAAAAAACCCCTGAGACTTACCTCAGTGTCTTGGCCTCTGTATCACAACAGAATCTTCACAGACATAAAAGATGTGATAGCTTTCAGCACTGCCTTGGGTAGATATCACAGGAAGCAGCTCAGGTATTTCTTTGATGCTTAATCTTGGTTGGGGTGATGTGATGTCTGGATCAGGGCTTACAGAATTGAAGGCCAGTGTTCATGTATGTGTTTGTTGTATAATTCTGAGGGCATTTTCCAAATTCCCGAGTTATTTTGCATGGAGAGTGATACAGAGTTTCAAGCAAAGTTTCCTGACAGTATTACCGTAACGGTTCAGCCCTGTAGTTCCATCGAGTTCTCTGCATAGGGCTTATGTTTTGTATTGCTGGGGAAGGGCTTACAGAAGCTGCTTCTTGAAAAGGCACCATGCAGAGGCAACATGCAGAAAAAAAGAGAGTGGAGCCTGCAAATAAACTATCCAGAGCTCTTTAGATCTGCAGGCAAGGCTTCATTACTCCCTCCTGACTTTCTCCTCCCTTTATAGCTACTGCTGTGTGCATGACTGCCTTGCAAAACTGTGAGAGAGCTCGACCATAGAGGCCAGCAAATCAGAGTAGAACGAAACCCGAGTAAATCAAAATCGCGCTCCCCGGGCGAAGAGAGATCACCTTATATGGGAACGTCATGGGTAAGAAGATGAATACGTCCAGCCGAGGGGCTGAGATCAGTTCCCAAACAGATGGAAGATGGTAATATGAAAACAAAAGCATTCAGGAAGAGAAGACAACATTTAAATCAGCTTTGCTTATGCAATCTGAGCCCTCCTGTTTGTCTCGTCTTATAAATATTGTGTTATGTGTATGTACACATAGGTTTGACTATGTTATATTGAAAAACAATTTCTATTTTAGCACCTAAATGCATCCCAGCTCTATTACTGGTTCTAACTTGCATTCCAAAACATTCTATGAGTGTGGCATAGGATGTTATCTAACAAGGTGGAGTTGCTTGCATAGAGTTAGCTAAGCTTCCTCCAAAAAGCACTTGCAGTTTTGTTCTTGTGTCTGGTTTTGTTTCTTGTCTGAAAAATCTAAAATAGCTCCACCAAATAATCGCAGAATTACACCAGTGCTTCTGAGATTAGAGTCTGCTCTATGGAGTCTCCTATTCAGGGTCAGATGAAATGGCGAGTCACCCCATGCAGCAGAGTTCAAGAACAATAAGATGTTTTAGGAATATGCAATAACTGGTTGCCTCTAAAGGGCAGATTTTCCTCTCTGCTGCCAAACTAGGGCTGTTCTCAGTGATAAGTGTTTGCTGAACAAAGTCTGCGAAGTTCATGAAGTTGGTTTCATTCTCATGGGAGGGCAGCAAGCCAGGACATTGAGCACAGTGATGCCAATCTCACGAAGAATCAAGTCTGCAGGAAATTCAAGTTGGCTTTCTGAGGTGCTGTACCCACCTACTGCTGCTCAGAGCTGGGGTCCCACTGCCAGTTTCCAACAACATGGTTATCCTGAAGCCCTGTTCTCCAGAGAAGGCTGAAATACTGTTAGAATGGAAAATATAAGTGATGGAATATTGATTGGTTGCTGTGTATTTCTGTTCTCAGATACTATTTTATCCCCCTCCAGAACACTCCGTTGTTAAACTGAAATGGGGCTAGCTCTGGTGGCTTGTTTTTCAAAGCAGACCTTTTATATCGCCTTTATGTAGTGTGGAAAGTATCTTCTGACCATACAATAGTTTTTCAAAGTTGACAGTGCTTTTATGAGTTAGATGAGCTAGGTGACTTTCCTGTCAGTTTAAAAACAGAGGCGTCCTTCCTCCTTTTATTAACACATCCAACTCATCAGGCAATGAAAACATTAGGTGAAGATTTTTGAAGCAGTCAGCATAAGGCACAAAAATAGTCACTCTGGAAAGTTAAGGAGTAAGTATTTTAAGCTGTCTTAAAAGAAAAAAAAAAAGGAAGGCTTAGAGAGGGTGCTGCCATTTGTGACAGAAAAAGTCTGAGTCTACGTATACAGTAGCACCATATGGGTAAGGTTTTGGATGACATTAAGCCCTGTTGCATTTAATCCGTGTTTCACAAATGGTATCTGAAGGGTCAGGATGTCACCTCGTGTTGTCTATGTGATATTGGGTGGAAAATAGGAATTCTCTTCTTGCATATATCAGATAATTTCTGAGAAAGCTGATGATGTCCTTGGCTCATCCTGTCTGAGCCAGGTAGAATCTGAATGTCTCTCGGGGAGGTAGGGCAGGAGCAGCCTTGTCCTGTCAGGTGATGTTCTGCAGTGACTGAGATCTGAATCAAGTATGTGAAATTTTGGTCAGATTCGTATGATTTCTTCCATGTAGGCAGTCAAATCTTTTTTGCTGATGACCAACATCATTAAGACAGAGAAGCAGCTTGAGCAGAGGTGCCCTGCGCTGAGGTTTTTTTGTGATTTATACTTAGGATGTATTGAATGCATGTTGATGTAAGAGAATGAACTATCCTTTGCGCAGTCCAGGACAAACAAATACCGTTGCTCTTTATGTCTGTATCTCAGCAGATAACATGCAAGATTGAGTGTAATTGCTTTTGTTTCCTGCAGAACCAGCTGACAGTTGTGACTTTGCCTTGCACTGACAGCCTTGCAGCCAAACCTCTCTGCATCACTTTAGGGAGGTGATGCCGTACAGATTGCTGTCCAGCTTCTCTGGCTCCGCTGCTGCTCCTGAGGAAACCCGGAAGGAGTGATGGTGCTACAGAATTGCTGTCAGCTTCTCTGCTACTATGGTGCTCTTACTGTTACTGTTGATCATTCCTACCTGTCCCCTTCCTTGCTTTCTGTAGGTCAAACCTGGTTGCAGCTGCAGCTTTCCTTCATTTGACTGGCCTAAAAGTGGGACCTTGCAGAGTAGTTCCCAAGTACAAGTGGACTTGTATTTGGAAACTGGAAAAAGTATCTGGGACTGTTAGCAAACAATTAAAAAGTCCAATATTAAATTTATTGTGCTTAATACTATAGGACAGAGTGTGAAAAAAGAGGAAAAGACATCAATAATAAAGGGAAATGTTATTGTAAGCAAGGAAAGGGCTTTTTTCTGTTTTCTCAAGTTGCTGAGCCTTTATCTCCTATAAGCCAAATAATTAGTAAGGATTATGCCTGCTCTGCGTTATTTTCTCTTACTAGTTGGTACTTTTACATTGAAGCTGAGTAAGACTTTTTACACAGGTGTGGAGAGGGAGATATTTATATTGCTCTTTTATGTATTTTTTCTCTAGTATCCCTTTGATAAAGGGGTTATCTGTTCTTCAGACAAGTCCTGTGAATGAGGGAGTGTGGATATCCACAGTCATGGTATGTAAACAGCATTTTCAGATTGGAATATTTTTTTGTGGGTACTATCTTCTATTGTATTATTGACCAGTGCAGCATGTGCAAGATTTAACTTCTCTGGAAAGTTTCAGTAGAACAGTACAGAATCCTAAGAGATAATCTGAGACCGTATTTTCAAACCCACAAAACTGAGTTCTTAGCAGCTAATATGTGCCCTTGCTAGAACGAGAGACAGTGAGAGGGTGCAGAGGAAGGGGAGGTGTGAAGAAGAGCACAGACTGATGTGAATGAGGGCCAATCTCACTCCCATTGAAGTCGTTTATTGGGGACCAGTTGTGCACAAGGCATCATACTGTTTTTGTCAGCTATGTGAGTTCTTTGTAGCGTTGAGATTCCTTGAATTTGGGCTTCAATTTTGGCTGGATTATTACTTTCCCTGGTAAAGACTAAACGCTTAAAGAAAACGCTGACTTCCCAGGAGTGCATGAAGATTTAAGGTTTTCTGCCCACCTTTATATCCCTGTTTAACTTGCTTGTGTTGTTGAATTAAACTTTTGATTGAAATGATTGCTTTCTTGATTTATCCCAAGACTCAGATAAGTAACTTCATATAAAACTGCGAAGGAAATGACTTCACCCTCAGCCCAAACAATGACAAGCGCTGTTGACCCAAGCAAACGGCTAAAGAAGGATTGATGAGGTGTGGTAGGGCCGTGGTTTGGGTAGTTCTTAGTACAGCTTCCTCCTATAGAAAGCTGCAGCAATCTGAAATGTCAAGCTCCCTATCTTACATTTGAGGAGGAATCCACTAACTTGCTGAAATTGTCTCTAACTTGTCTTTCCTGAGTAAGAGTTTGTTTCTCTACAGGAGTTCAGACAGGAAGATGTGTAAATTATAGTGCAGCTGTTAAAACCTGTGAGGTCAGGTCATGGTGCCCTGTGAAATCCATGAAAAACCCTCCTGAGTAACTGAGAGATCTGCCTTTTTTTTTTTTTAATGCCAAAAGAAGAATTTACTTTGTCAAAGTAACGAAATTTTAGGATAATCCCTTTGCCTAGGCACATATAGATCTCATGTGTGTAAAATAGCTACTTCCTTCATAGCCATACTGTTAACTCTCATTATAATATCTAAATAACTTCTAACAATGTATGACTCATCCTGCTGTGTGATTCTGCAGTGAAGTCAGAGCCTCCAGTTTGTATCATCATGCGGCTGCCGTAGAAACAGTTTTAGATGTCACAGGCTCATCTTGAATTCACTGGAGGCATTTGGCTCATTAATTCAAATGTCAAGGAAAATGCAGCAGGATAAGATGGGTTTAATCAGTGACAAAAAGAAAAAAAAAATCCTGTCTTGGGATTTTCTTCTGCAAGGCTTATGGTGTAGAAATTCTTTGTAGCTTCATTTATGCCAGTGCAGTTTCTCCTGTCTCCCAGAGCAGTAAGGGTGGATTGGTTATGCTGCAGGCTCGTGTTTGGGGACCCACCTCAGACCAAAGAGCAGTCTCCATCCTCTCTAGGTAGATGATGAAAACCTCAATGCTGGTAATCTCTAACGGTGAGCTGAAAAAAACTCTAGGAAAAAGACTCCACACACCAATGCTACTGTGACCTAGAGAGTAGGATGGAGGGGCCTTGTAGCAATCTTTCTTTGTAACCTCATGGCTGTACAGTGTTCCAAGATGAAAATGTTCTATTTCTATTCTGTGTCAGCCAAAGCATGAAAGAATTCTATGAAAGATTTGATTTCAACTGAAGTGATGGAAATTATACTCTTAAGAGAGCAAACGATAATCAGTTTTAGCTCCTCTCAACCAGCTTTGAAGCGTATGTGTAAGAAACTAGGTCAATTATCACTTTTATTAACTCATTCCTTTTAAAGGAGACAAGTATGATTCTATGTATATATCCCATGTTTTCCCTAATTCAAGGTTTTCTGCAGAGACTGAGCAATTTTTCCATTGCCAGCCCCCCTCCAGAGCCCACAATGCCTCCTACAGCTCCTTCTGCTGAGGCTTTTTCAGCTCTTTAAAGGATTTTCCATTCCCTTCTCCTGCGGACAGAATTGTGATCTGAAAAAGGCTTTGTCCAGCAACAGGAAGGCTGTAATTGTTCATACAGCATCCGGGAAAGACATGCATGAGCTTCCTGAGTTAATGAAATCCTAGGGATCTTTTATAAAGTTTTAGCGACTGCCAGTCATTTTTAAATGTCACACTGCGTAGGCTCACTGCTGCGCATGTTACAGAGGGAATTTTGCTTTTAATTGCATTGCACACTTGACACATTCTGTCTTGTTTCCTAACCTTCCCCTGAAGTGCCAGTAGTCGGTCACTACCAAGGACCAAAAAGAATGGATGAAAGGTTTGATCCAAACTTCTAATGTATAAAGTTCCCTCACAAGTTCCATTGGCAAGGAAAACCTTAGGAATCACTAAAAAGCAAAGCTGAGTGTTTGTTTTCTAACTGAAGTCCAAGGTCAGAGCCCAGGAAGCTTTGCCATCTGGTTGAGATAGGTTACACCCATGATTGCCTTTATTGTCCAAATTCCTTTAAAAGGTAAGTTTCATAAACTATACCAGAGGCCTCCTTTTCCTTCCTGTTCGTTATGGCAGGAGCTGAACAAAGCCATTCCGTGCTGGCAAAAAGATTCTTTACTTTTTGATTGTTCGGTTCTGCCTGAGGCAGGGCACAGTTGTCAGATCAGCTGGCTGAAGGGCAGGTGTTTACAACACCTTCTGTGGATTAGATTCCAGATGTTTCCCAGGGGATGAATTAGGGACAGTTTCACATTATAGGTTGATTCATTTTTTGTTCTTTAAAAATTAACATACATTATTAATGTCTTGACTATCATACACTGAAGCTCATCAGTGACTTTCACATCCAGGTAGCATCCACAAATGTTAATCTGGTTTGCAGTCAAGTCTCATTCATTGACTTCCAGCTAACGTGCTTCTTGTCATCACAGATCCGTGATGCAGAGGCATTGCTCAAAATATGATGATAGGAAAAATACTCCCTGCTTAGAAGCATTGTCCTTTATGTGTGACTGCTTTGAAGACTGGGTTTCCTCCTTGGAATGGCTGTCTGGATGGAAATGAAAATGTTCCTGGCTCATTCTTAAACTGTAACAATGCCAGTATTCCAATTCAGCATAGTCCCTGTGCTAGACAAACAGTGCTAAAAATTGTATCTTTTTCTTTCCTACAGCCCTGGCAAGTCCTGGAGTACAGCAGAGATTGTCTCACACAGTCTACACCGAGGTTACCCAGCTGGCAACTTGTGGGAAAATTCCTTCTTTCTCAGCACATTGGCTTCGGAGAAGTCACTTTTTTTGAGGAAAGGTCAGACTAGCAGCCTGCTTTCCATTGTGTTTGTGTCCCGTCTATGTATTTAGGAACACAATCCACTGCCGGGGAGGTCTTCAAACCAATATCTGCTAGGAAGGCAGGACGGCCTTTGGCGATGTGATGGACACCTGAATTCCAGAGACATTCTTAGACTCTTACTAATTGTGCAGCACTGGTGTAAATGCCCATCTGTCTGCGGGGACCAGCAGCAAAACTGCCAATTCACCATGCAGAAGTCATCGACTGTCAGATGGTGTAATTTCTTACTACTATTCTAAAGCAAGATTTATATGAGAAGTCTCCCGAGATCATATATCAGCTGCATGTAGAAACTCTAGTTAGGCTTGGCCCACACAAACAAGTGCAATAGAGAGAGAACAATTTATACCTAAAACTAAGAAAACCACCTATATCTTTCTTCAACCCTTGAGCCACCTAACTCCCTGCATTTCAGTCTCTTATTCTTAGCAATATATTCCTCCTACTGACAGCTTTCCAGGTAATAGTAAAATAGCATAACATTAACTGATGTATTTAAGGAAAAGAAGTTAGTTAATTTGATGTTTCTTTTTTAGGCCTGCTGTTCTGAGGAGTTCTGAAGACTTCACTGCTAATGAAGAACAACATTCACTTCCCAAAATTTAATTACACTGTGTAAGTGCAAACATTACTCAATGCTTTTGAAGAGTGAGTAGCTGTGCTCTAAAGAAAAAGATTGTAGAAATTGGCACCTTCTTTACTGAAAAAAGCTATGCATTCAGGGCCGTATCTGCCTGAGTGACAATTACCAAGTTTCCATAGTTCTTTAGTTTTATTAATCCTTCAAGAACAAAAAGCACTAATGAGAGCTTGGGAACAAAGCCTCCCAGCATAACTCTTATTTCTCTGATGCACTGGGCAGCAGAACTGTTCGTTCAGATAAACTGGTTTATGTTAAGGGAAAATAACAAATATATAGTACAGCAGACGTGTGATTCCAATTATAAAGTGAAAGTGTTTTGTTTACACAGGTATGAATTTTGCTTGTGATAATATTCCGAAAGAAAAGAATTCATCTTGATGCCCAGATCCCAGTTAGGGATATATAGATCTGATAGCTACAAACCCTACATCATGTTGCTGAGGGAATCATCCAGAAGTCAGGCTGGCACAAATGGCAGCTTATATTGAGAGTCAAAAAGCACTTGTTTTTGCCAGTACATTTTCACTCTGTTCTTTAGGGGTTTGCGCCAAATGCCCTTAACACAGTATCTAGCCATACCTCTAGAAAGTCAGAATTAACAGATGGGTAGAAGAGACAAAGTGTCCTGCCCAGAGTCATCATCCGGGCCACATTTATTGGTTCTCAGCCTGACACGGTGCATTCAGGATGAAACATTTGCACTGGGTGCCTACCAAACTTAGGCTTGTATTCAGGCTTTTGGTTTGAGCCTATATTTAATTTAAAGCAATGAAATGACCCATCACTATATCAGCTACATCCACGCTTAGGCTATCAAGATGAAAAGATAGAAAAAGCGTGAATGGATGGTAGCTTCTTGCTCACGTAACAGTCCCTTCCACAGAAGACTGCCTGGTTGGCAAATGTTGCATATGAGTTAGCGTGTCTTACAGAGATGTCTGTAGCGGAGATGCTTCAACTCTCCAGTGATTTTAACCCCAGTTTAGCACAGGCACCCATTGTGGCACTGGTCCCTAAAGTTGCTGTCTCTGTTTCTAAGGAGGAGTTATTGCCATTGAGATTAACTGGGATTGTAACTCGTACAGCTGGTTTTATGACTGCAGTTCAAAATACAGCTTTAGCCACCTTGATTGCAGAAAAATACAGCCTGGATTCCAATTCAGGTGAAAAACATATATGAAGCACGTATTCTGTTTTCTGAGTTGAAGTAAAGATGTGACGAGTTGTGGAGAATGATAACTTGGAACAGCATTTGATTCTCCATATTCACTCTTGTAGTTGGGTCCTTACATGCAGGTACTGCAGTTGTATAGATGTATCATCATGGTCATCTTCCAAAGGAGAATGCTTGGATTGTGGGACATTTTATTTCTGTGTTGAAAGGCCTAGAAATTTCCAGCAAGTATTCTGGGAGCTAAGACAGAGAATAGTTTTGGCAGATTCTGCCATATGGCAATTGAAGCTTGAAACTACCTAAACTGGTGAGATTCCCAATGCAATTAACACAAGTAAAATACAAAAGTGTTTTTCTTCCATCTGGGTAACCCCACAGTTCACTGAATCAAGATTTATTCAAAAGCAAATTAGAGCTTTTGGTTCCATATGCATATAGCAGATTTATGAGAAGTTTTGACAAAAAATCTTGATGTGACTCCAGTGCTAAACAGTTACGCAAAGCATTTATCAAATGCTTATCAGCGTGCTTAAAACTGAAGTTGTCCCACTGATCTAGGTCAAAACTCTTGCATAACTACTCTTTCTTTAGATTCATGGCATGATTATTATTTCCTTATGGGTTTTCATACATTTGTGATGCTAACGTGAGTGCTATAACTGTCTAGAAGCTGCCAGCATATTCCAAAGCTGCATTTTGCTGGAGCTGTGCAAACAAAGAACAGGTGTTCCCTCTGCCCTGGCAGCCACAGGCAGGAGATGGGTTTGATCACAAGAAAAAATCCAGACAGTGCGGTGAGGCTGAGGCCAGCAACCTCTCTGTTGAATACATTTTTGTAGGCAAAGCAGTTTCTGAAAAGGCTTTTGGAAAAGACAGTGAAGTAGTTTTGAGGATGCATTAAGTGTGAGATTAACAGCTGGAGTCAAAATGGCAGGAATGGGGTTGCCCTGATTTTTTTACCTTTTTAAGCATCAAAACACCAGTCTGTAGCAAGATTATTTGCCTGCAGTTCAGCAGAAATCTCTGCTGCAGAAAGTGAGCCTGGTTTGAGAACTCAGGCTGCTGGGAGAGTGTGCATGATGCCAGACCACATCCTGGTGGCCTGACTCCGTATCTCTTAATCAAGGGGTTTACTGGCAGAGAAATGTCATTTTCTAATGTCTCCAAAAGAGGAGCAGTGTAGTTCAGTGCAATTTAAAAAGCAAAGACAGTGAAAGTGGAAGAGCAGTGAATAGATTGAGTATAGTACTATTTAAAACAAGCATGGATGTTTTGGCCAAAAACATGCACAAACCCTGCCACACTGTTGAGCTTGTGTATGCCAACTTATATAAACAGAGATGCTCATTTCAGTAGAATTAGCCAAGGGAGTAATGGAGAAAGAGCTAGAAATGATCCTGCAATTAATATATTTTGACATCAGTGACATCATAAGAATGTAAAATGCTACCATAGCAGAGGTCCGTCCAGCCCAGTGTCCTAAAGCTAACGAAGATCAAGAGCAGGAGAAGATTTTGGAAAAGAGCGTAATAAACGGGGCACATAGAAAATGCTGCTTCCCCTGCAGTCTAGCTGTCCTAGAAGTCAGGAAAGCTACTTTGGGCAGCTTACAACCTCTGTCTGCGTGGAGCCCTGTTGATTTAATCTCATTTCCAAATGGAATTTTGTGATAGACTTAAAGGGAAGCAGGCTTTGGCGTTCCAAAAGAAGAGAACTACTTGAGGTGCGAGGGAGCAAAGCTTCCACCAGTGATCAAGAAAGCTCTTAACAGGTCAGCTCTGCACACAGAGAGAAGGCTTCTATGTCATCAAGAGCAGATGTGAAATAACCTCTACCCTAGGGGCTAGAGAAAACCTCTGATCCTGGAAAGAGTCAGCAAAACTTTCAAATAAAACCTAACTAACCTACGGGCTTCAGAGGCTAAAAGCTGGCTGATAAAATGTGCCTTGGCCACAGGCTGCAGAACCGTTCAGCGCAGGAAAAAGGGCATTTCAAGCCTGTGCAAGCAAGGAGAAAGCAGAACACATCACAGTGTGTTTTTCTCTGAGTGACTCACTGCCTTCAGAAAATACAAATCAGACTGCAGTGAATAGGAAGCAAATGATTGCATGTTCTAGGGAACTCTGACTAAAAGCACTCTGCAAGTCTGCCAAACTTAGCTTGCAGTAGAATGTGCAGGAGAGAGTGGAATCAAATAAAAGTTTGCTGTGGGCTGGTTTGTTAGCATCAAGGTGGCAAAGCAGAGCAGCAGGGACTGAACCCAAAGAAGAAGGGAAGGAGGAAAACATATTTTTCTTTAGATGTCTCTACCATCTGAATGAGTGTCTGGAGACACTAGAAGGCAGAGGACTGAGCTGATGGCATTTACCCCAGACATATCCTCTTAAACAGTTCACTCTTTCAGTACTTGAACAGACAACCAACTATAAAACAGATTTCGAATAGCGTTGACAGAGTGACCTATGAGTATCTGCCGCCTCTGGAACGGGCCTTCTGTCCCTTTGGCTAAGCAAATTCCCATTCAAATTATTTATCTAAATGAAAGAGCCCAGGACTTAGAGATCACTCAAGTAAACCAGCACTTTAAGTCCTGACCGTATGCCTGAGGCAGAAGACATATGGGTATTGTTAGCACAGGTTGGATATTAGTACCATTGTGTGTTTTGCTGTGTCTTTCAGTTGAATGTGATGATGGTGTCTGTACTGCCAGCTTTTCGTGGTCAGATTTAAAAAGATCTCTTTGTTCCATGCTCTGTGACTGCTTATTGATCCGTAAGCTGATGCAAGCTGTGCATCAGGAGGGTCATGTTCTTGAGAGAATAAGAATGTGGAAGTTAATAAAGGCTCACGTGGTTCTCTGTACTGAGGAAAGAATGGAAAATTGCTGATATCCAGCATGCTCAGGTGTGCTCAGGAGGTGGGAGTTGGTCGTGAGTAACATGAAAATAAAGCCTCCAGAGCATGGGCCCTCCTATCGCTGTTGGCTCCTCACGTGTCTTTCCTAGGGTTTCCTGTCTGCTTTACCTATGACTGAACTTTTTTCTGCGGCTTCAAGTCCCAGTTTGAGTTGAGACAGGAAAACACTTGTTGGACATTTTTCGGACTTTTAATTTGTCTAAATCTCTATATAAGTATTAATTTAGTTTAGACTGCCAGGTCACATGCTGGACAAAATACTGCTCCTCAAGCTGGCCTCAGCACCTTCATTTCAGAACGCTGAAAGGGCTGGAGGAAAAGGAGAGACCTCCTTTTTTGTTCTGCAGCCTGTGGCATTATATCCCCCAGGGAAGCTGCACAGATCATAGAATCATAGAATGACCTAGGCTGGAAGGGACCTTAGAGATCATTTTAATCCAGCCTCCCTGTTGCCAGGGACACCACCTCTGGACTAGATCAGGCAACACACGGGGACTGAATGGGAATTGAACCCGCGACCTTGGCATTGTTAGCACCACACTCAACTGACTGAGCTAACTGGCCCCCTAGATCTTCATTTATTCTTTTGCAGATATGCAGGGTACTACAAGCTACCACATGGAATGGAGCAGAGAACCCTTTTCAAAGTCTACAGAATACAGTTTGATGTCCTTGTCTTCAGCACAGACAATGCAATTCTTTTGCCTTGTAGAGAGAGATGAAAGCTTGCTATTTTCTTCACCCCCATCTGTCATATACCCATCTCCTCTCTCCTGTCTGTCGTTCTGGGATGGAAGTCATGTCAGACAAGTAGATCTAAACTGAACTGAACAGTCTAGGAGAGCAAAGCTGAGGATGAAATGGCAGGGCTGCGAGAGAGGCAGGGTTGTTGGTCAAGAACGAGACAGTCACAAGTATCATCATGACATGATGTTTTTGTCATGAAGCCTGTGTGTCAGCACTGTTTTCCTCTCAAGCGATTTATTCTCCCCTGCAAAGTGTCTGACATGGTCTATTAAATTTTGGAATTGACTGAATTGTAAAGAGACAAAGATACGTTGGGAAGACACAAACAGAGAAAAGCCGTTAAGTTGAATGAATGGTAATAGGTCTTGCCTCACAGTTATTCTTTTCTGCTGTCTTTAAGGGTAGAAAATTTAACAGCCTTGAACTCATTAAAAACATAGGGTCCATGATCTCCTATATTGGTTTGGTGAGAGACTTACTTTTTGTGTTAATAAAGCCAGTTCTGGAGACAGTGTCATTAATAAAGTGGAATCACTACTTGGTTTTTGTTTCATGTACAGGTTGCTTGATAAAGAAGCTTCTGAAAACAAGCTTGCAGCATGCTCATGGCAGCATCGGTGAGGTAAAGACAGACACTTAACCTTTGGGATCCTCCCTTCAGAAGGGAGAAGTGAGAAATATCATTCCAAACTTATTTGGTTTCCCACCCGCCCCACCATGTTTCCGGATTAGATTCTGAGAGGCTAAAACTAGATTCCTGTTGTCCGCTTTGAGTTAACGGGTCCTGTGACCAGAGGATGTATTTTATAGGGTCAGCTAAAAATTGCTGCTTTCCTGTGGTGGGTATGTGCCAGCAGGAGTGCGTTGGCTTTGCAACAACTTGCGAGGTGTCGATTTGATTTCGCTAGGGTGGGCGTTGGCAACACAGAAAGACAATCCTCCTCCAGATCTGCTGATCTGTCATCATTATTCCTATTGTGCTGTGTCGAATGAGGAACCCAGTGGTGAGGATCACTGTTGTAAATTCTCTCTGCAGTTGGATGTAGCGGCAAACACTGTTTTCTTCAACTTCTGGTGGGAATTGTTGTTGCAGAACCACCCTCTGAAATTCTGTGATGCTGGCAGCTGCTACCAGTGACTCCAAGGAGAACCACAATAATGAAGAATGTGAACCGATGCGCACCCCTGAGTGCACTGATAACCACGACGATGAAGAACACGAGCTGGGGCAACCTCTCAGACAAGGGACCTCTACCCCAGCCTGCCAAAAGTTGTGCTGCTGTGGCAAATGCCAGCCAACACAGAAGCACCATGAGCTGCCGAAGCAAAAAAAGGGCAGTGCATCACAATCTCCCATTGATTTGCTGTCCAGTCACACCCTGAAGAAAGCTTTTCTCTAGAAAAATCCCTTTCTGGACCTTGCATACAAACAGCACATTCACTGGCATTTTGGCTCTTTTGGTCTGGAACATGGAGTCATCATCCCAAGCTGCTGCAGGTGGAAAATTAGATATACTTATCTCAAAGCTGGTTTTAAGATGGAACAAAGGTGTAGCATAGCTTGAGTTTACACTGTGATTCATCTTGGACATTCAACCTTTGTTTTCTGTCATGGACCTTTTTAAAAAAAAATGAGCATATGATTTCCCAAAATATTCTGTAGTACAGGTGAATTCTTGTATACTGTCGTTGGAGAGGCATGGCTGCCTACTGCTTAGCATAGAGGAGCAAATACCTGGAGCTAAAATGCTTGTTTGTCCCTTTGCTTCATTCTGCGAGTCACCCCCTGTGGTTTGGAAAAGGAGGCTCTGGGGTGAATTCTCATGGCTATGTTCTAGTGAGAAGTTCCAGGCCTCCTGCCTTGGCATGTACCAGAATCCCAGCTGTGTCAGGAGATGATCAGCACCCTGGAAATATGGAGCTAAAAGTCATCTCAAAAGCATGACCCCTGAAGGAAGGAAGTCGAATGAGATATTGCCTGAAAACGTGGTCCTGAGCATTTTGGTCCCCCAGCCTCACCACCTTTCTGCAGCCCTGGATCAAGAGCCTCTAGAAAGAGGCCACAGAGCGCGTGTAGTTTTGTAACTTGCCATTGAAGGTCTCATGGTCCCTCCAGATTAAACAGGCTTGTTTCCGATGATTTCAGTGACACAGACAAAGCATTTTCTAAAAAGCCCAGCTGTTCCCTTTGTATTACTCTTTTTAGCTTGAACTCAGGAATTACAATGAAAAGTGCTTCTGTCATCTTTGTGTAATATTTTCAGACATTTCATTCATACTCATTGAAATTGTAATGTTGGACGTTGGCCTCCTGTTTGCCCTGAGCTTCAAAGAGGCCTTGCGTCCCACGTCTCCTCCTCCTGAACCTGGCACAGGGCGAGTTGCTGGTGTACAGCTGAGGAGCAGTAAATTCAAGGTAGATTAATCTGTGCTCCAACGCCTTTTGAGTTCTTTCTTTTTGTTATACTTGAACGTGTTCTATTTTTGTAGAAACAAGGTGAGAAGGATTGTAACGGGTATATTCTGCACTCCTTTCAAGTAAGCTTTGTTCTTTCTGAGCTAGCCCAGCAGTTTGCCATTGCCATTTCCTACATATATTTTAAGATATATTGCTGGCAAATTATGCCAGCTATATTTATATCTTCAGCTGCAATGTGCATTAATTTTATTAACCTTCATATTGCAGCATCTTATGTATCTTGAGTGGGGAACTATTACACCGGGCATTAGTGCATTCCTGTTCTGACACATGAACTGACTCTCCTTTTGGAAAGAATTACACTGGATAATCACTTAAGACTGTGATTTTAATCTCCTTTGTATATACGTTCTTCCTTATCCTCTTCCCTTTTTTTTTTGTCCTTTCAGATTTGACTGGTTTTGTAACAATTGCAGTGTTTGACTTATCTGTAGCTAACTCAAAATCTCTTTAATAGTTTTGTCTGAAATTCCCACTGCCTGTTTGCCAGTTCGCTTCATCTCTAATGATTTACGTGCTCTTATAAGGGTTACGACGATGTTTCTAAACCAAGCACTGTGTTGGGCAGCTCAGCATCAGGTGGAAGGTGCATGAATAAGGTGCTGCAGATCTCTGCTTTTCTATCAAATCATAGAACCATGGGATGGTTTGAGTTGGGAGGGGCCGTAAAGACATCTCGTTCCAACCCCCCTGCCATGGCCAGGGACACCTCCCACCAGCCCAGGTTGCTCCAAGCCTGCCCCAACCTTGCCTCGAACACTTCCAGGGACGAGGCATCCACAGCTTCCCTGGGCAACCCATTCCAGGCTCTCCCCACCTTCACACTGAAGAGCTTCTTCCAGATGTCTAACCGGAATCAACCGCCCTTCAGTTTAAAACTGTTGACCCTCACACAGAGATTAGTTCTGCAAGAGGGTAAATGGAGGTTCTGCTCATCGTGGATGGGAGGGCGACATGGTGAGATGTTTCTGCTCTCTCTTGCAGGCAGCAGCTCCCTCCTTGCCCCGAGCTGGCACCAGGTTACCTCTTGGTATCGGGGTGGCCCCAGCAGACTTTCAGGTATCCGCCAGTTCCCCTACATTTGCTAACAATGAGTAGCATGGAGGAAAAAATAAACCCACAGATTTAGCAACTAGGGTGCGAGCATCCTCCTCGCCACGGCGAGAAGCCTCGGGAC